AAGAGACGAGGACTTGCAGTGTGTGACCTGTAATTGGGGTGAGCTATTCATAGGGAAAAAATGCCCATTTCTCCAGTCGGTGGTGAGTGAGGCCTAGGATAACGTTTGGGTCTTGGACAGCAAACCACTGAGTCTTTTTTTTTATATATAGCAACATTATTTTAATAGTTCTTTTCCAGCATGTAGCCGTGCCGCTGCAGAGTCTGCCCCGACGCTGTCATCCGTGCGTTTCCTCTAAGAAATCGGGCGTAGCGACTTGTGGTCCCCGTTCCTTGGGTACCTTGAGCTGCAAGAGGCCAAATAACCACGTGCCATAGCGCAAAACACAGTTATTCCCAGGAAACCTCGCAGTGCGGGTTGTAGCGGTGCCCTAAAGCCATTTCGCCTCGTGCTGGGTGGAAAAGGCGAGGAGAGTTTTCCCTTTCTGCCCCAAGCGGGTGCCTGGCATTGCTGGTGCTGCTCGTCTGCGCTGCTGGAGCGGGTGGCACCGCGGCGGAGGGGAGAGCCCGACCTCCATGAAGCAATTTGGGATCTTTTCCAGATGAAGAACACATTGAAAACATCGTCTGCTACCGGCTAACCAGTTGTGACTTAGCTCCTTCTCCCGATACCGGCGTATTTTGGAGCCCTCGTAAGCTGCTCAGGTGCCTCCGTTTGCCCAGCGAAATTCTAAAGTAATGCAAAGAAGAGAAAGAAAAAAAAAAACCCAAACCCACTGAGGTTACGTGGAAAACTAGTAATTAAGCAGTGTTTTGTCAGCACTTTTGGTTGTGATCCCATCTTGATGTGGTCGTCTCATTTGAATGTAAATGTCAAATTCCAGAAGGCCGGTAGGAAAGCGATTGGGTGACATCCCGCTGGACGCCAGGCGAGTGAAGTGCAGGCGCAGGGGTTTCGGTTAACGCTCCGCTCTGCTCTTTTGCAGTTCGTCTGGTAGGTCCGAAAGGAGCGAGCTGATAACTTGAGCTTAAGAAAATATAACCGGTTAGTGGCGAGGAGCGGCGTCGAACTGCAGTCGGCCTCGGCGTGAAACCAGCTGGGTGTGGAACAGCCGGGATTGCCGTGAGCAGCGTCTCGGGGAAGCGGAGGGCTTCCCTCGCTCACACCCGTGCTCAGCAGTGCGTCTTACGGGGAGGGGAAAAAAAAAAAAAAGGCATTTTTTTCCTGCCTGGAATCAGGCTGCGTTTGTGTGGAGCTGACCTGGGGAGGCAGGGATAGCCCGAGCTCGGTTGCGTTGGTATTTTGGAAACGCAGAGGTAGCCGAGTAGTTAGGGATGTGTGTCGCGTTACTCCAGGTTTGTAAAGAAGGTTTGTAAATAAATTCGAGAGCTCTGGTATTGTTGTAAACTCTCTCTTTCAAGTGGGCAGTATTTTAGGTTGACGGTTGCCCCCTGAGCTGCTCCAAGTTACACGCGAGGGCGATCTCCCGACTCCTCAAACGCAGCCACTTTGGGGTGAAATGTGGCATCTTTGCACCCCTGCCGAGACGCGCAGTCTGGGACAAGAGGTGTGTAATGGCTTTTCGGCGGCCGGGGGGCGCGGAGAGAGAAAAGAGCTGCCTGGGAAATTTAGGTCAGTAGTTGAAGCTCCCCCTTGGTGGCCCGTGCAGACCTGGCCCTTGCCAAGGAGGGGACTGGCTGGGGGGGGTGCCAGTGGCTTTTGTCACTTGTCACCTGGCCCTCGGGACCTTCCCAAGCGGATGCCCGGTTTTACATCCTTTGCCTTCTCCTGATGGGATTATTTTTTTTTTTTTTGAACAGGTAAAGGTGGAAGGCTCTGTCTCCTGTTACTAATCCCCCGAGCCACGCAGCTCTGTGCGGGCTTTAACACTGTGGCTCTTCAGCCCCCTGAAAAGGGAGCAGGCTGTGATTTATTTTCTTTTCAGGGCTGGGTGGCAGCGCTCAGGGAAGGAGCCCAGTGGTATCTGGCCGTGGCCATTTTTGGGGGGCTCGGGGCAGCCCGTTTGCCCCTCGACATTCTCGGCCGCTGCAGATGAGGGACACAAAGGCCGTGTTGTGCGAGGAGAATGAGTTGCAAAGTTGTACAACTTTCCCTGCCAGCCCTCGGCAGTCTCATGACCCTGCAGCCGTTCCCACACTGTCCGGCCGATTGTCCCAGTCCCCTGGCCGGGGGGGGGGGGCCCAGCCCCCCGCGGCGACCCCCGCTTCCACCACCCTGCCTGCACGGCCTAACTCGCTCCCCCAAGCCCCCTCGGTCCCCGGGGCCGGGCACCGCAGCCGACAAAGCCCGGTTGTGTGGGTGATGAAGCCTGGCTGCCCGGGAGACTGTTGCCTGAAGCTTCAAAATGCTTCACGCAGCTCGAATTCTCTTCAGAGGAGGGGGAGAAAAGCTTTGTGAAGTGTCTAATCTAGAGGGGAAAGGGGAGGCAGAAGGCTCTGGTGTCGCTTGCAGGGCCGGGAGGCGGTGAGGGGTGGGCAGGGGGGTCCGAGGCGCTGTTCTGGGGAGCGGAGTGCCATGGGGGTGGCTCGAATCGGGGTGTTGGGGAGCTCTGGGGCTGCCCTGGTGGGAACGGGGCAAGCGATGCTGAGGCAGCGGAGGTCTCCCCAGCTGTAGCCCAGCCGCTTGGGAGGCTGGGGCGGTTCCTCGGACCCCCGGCGGATGCAGAGGTGCGATGACCTTGCCCAAGGTCACACCTGGAGCCGGTGCCTGACTTTGGAGCAGTGCTGGCTTTCCTGGCCCCCAGCCTGCACTCGGCCATCAAACAGCCTTTTCCTCCTAGCGAGGACCTCGTATTTTTTAAAAAAACCTGTGAAACAGGGCTTCAAGTTCCAATCCTGCCGCTGCGGGAGCCCAGGAGGCAGCTCTGGAGCTGGTGCCCTTGCTCCGGGCATCTCGGGAAAGCCGACTTGCTTCAGTGCTTGGTCTTCGTGGCAGGACTTGCACCGGCTGCCCTGCACATCCAGCCCGGCTCTCCTGGTGCTGCCCTCCCACCCTGTCCCCGCTGTCACATTTGCGTGGCCAGCTTAAGGCCGGTTTATGTGTTATTGTTTAGTATCGAGGGGTCTGCTTCAGAATGGTGTTTCGTGAACACAGAACTGCCTTATTCTGTGTTTTCTTTGTAAAAAAGGTGCAGAAGTTCCTTTTTTTCCCCTTGGATTAATGAAGTTTTTTAAAAATCAGAAAATGTGAAGAACTAACGGAGAGATCTGCTCGCAGGCTTGGAATGGGGGTGGGCGCGTGTGTCGGGAAGCGAGTGTTGTTTTGCAGCCTGGTTGCTAGCTGCCCGTGCTCCAGCGCGGTGCTGGGAGTTCCTGCGCGATTCCTTCTGTTCTGGACGTGCTCCTGACTCATCCATCCCCCCTGCTGCGTGGGGCAGGGCGCTTCCGCCGTGCCTCAGTTTCCCCATCTGTGAACTGGGGACTTCAGTACTTACAGAATCCCAGAATGTTGGGGGTTGGAAGGTTCCTCTGTGAGTCACCCAGCCCAACCCCCTGCCCAAGCAGGGTCACCCAGAGCAGGCTGCACAGCACTGCGTCCAGGCAGGGCTTGAATATCTCCAGAGAAGGAGACTCCACAACCTCCCTGGGCAGCCTGGGCCAGGGCTCCGTCACCCTCAGAGGGAAGAAGTTCTTCCTCGGGTTCAGTCGGAACTTACGCTTGCACCAAGGTGTTTTACGAACCTAGATTATTTGTGTGTGGATGTACTGCACGTTGTGTTGGTCCCTAATGATCCCAGTGCTTCGGGCCGGGGGGGGAGGCAAATATGTTGGTTTATAGGGAGACAGCATCTCTTCTGCAAGGAGTACCTGGATTTAGGGCTTGAGACAGAGAGGAGAGGAAGGGTATTCCCACTTTTGGGGATCAGAAGACTGGGCCTGGGAGAATTAAGGCGCTTGTTCGGAGCAGACGGCGCGGTGAAGCTGGGCAGGTTTGGTCCTGGTGCCCCTCTCCTGGCGAAGGGCCATCCCTTCCGAACGGAGCTGCTTGGTTCGCTCTGGCTTTTTCCACTTTTGAAGAGAGGGATGTATTTCAAGTCAGGTGGATCCGTTTCTGCCGTGCTAGCGCGTCAGGTGTGGCTTATTTACCTTTTCCCAAGCAAGCCCTCGGTGCTGGAAGGAACCTGCTTCTGCCAAAGCCTTGCTGAGAGGTGGGGGCTGATGCCAGGGCTGCTGCCTGCCGCTCCTCCTGAGAGCAGTCTCCTCTCCTCTCCTCTCCTGCCACCGCAGAGGCTCGTGTTCCTGCGGAAGGTGCCGCGGATGCCTTGGGTCTCAGTGGGCTTCAGCTTGGCTCATTGTAAATCGCCCTCAGCAGCAGGCTGGGGTGGTTGGGGCTCCCCTGTTCCCGCGCACCGGTGCCCTCAAGCGCTGAGCCTGCTGCTGCGCCCGTTCCGTAGGGTGCTCGCTGCCAGCACCCTGCCAGCATCCCTCTGGGACCGTCTGAAGACCCTGGGACCCCAGGGGCGAGCGGTGGGGATGGTTTTCCCAGCAACTACGTGATTGTATCAGGAGTTTGGCTGGGCAGACAAAGGCTGAATGAGCAGGGGACCTTTCCAGTAGAAGTGGTGGGATTGGGAGATAGTCCCAGAGGTGGACTGGAGTCCACTGGTGAGGCTCAAGCCACTGTAGCCTGACGCTGGGCATGCCTAGCAGCTCGGTCCAGATGCAGTCTGGCTGTATTAACCCTGGTCCTTGCCAAGGCTTGCTAGCCCTGGCCCAGATCCGTGCCAATTCAGCTGCTCTTCTAGCTTGAGAGCACCTGGGCTGTGTTTCTCCATCTCCTTCCCGGGGTGAAGGTAAGCACGGGTCCGTCCCGGCCTGCTGATGGAGGCATGTCCTCGATGCCGGGCAGCACGGCGGGCTCGGCGGTGGAGAGGTGCGGAGGGCACGCAAGCCGATAGCTGGTGCTTGCTGCAGAGCACGCTGCTGTCGGCAGACAGGTACCTGCTCCGCGTTGGGAGTTTGCCCGTGCGATGCGATGCCTCCAAGCAGCCGAGGCCTCTGTGACTCACTGTGTTTTCCTTCTTTCGTAGCCTTTTGCATCGAAGATGGCGGGTGGCGTGGACGGCCCCATAGGGATCCCGTTCCCCGATCACAGCAGCGACATCCTCAGCAGCCTGAATGAGCAGAGAAACAATGGGCTGCTGTGCGACGTGGTCATCTTGGTGGAAGGCCAGGAGTTCCCCACCCACCGCTCCGTCCTGGCGGCGTGCAGCCAGTACTTCAAGAAGCTCTTCACCTCAGGGTTAGTGGTGGACCAGCAAAACGTGTATGAGATAGACTTTGTGAGTGCGGACGCCTTGTCGGCTCTGCTGGAGTTCGCGTACACCGCGACCCTTACTGTCAGCACTTCAAACGTCAATGACATCCTCAATGCCGCCACACTGCTGGAGATCCCGGCGGTAAGGGATGTTTGCACGGATCTCCTGGACAGGAAGATTCTGGCCAAAAATGACCAGATGGATACAGTAGATCAAATTGATCAAAGGAACCATCTCAGAGCAAAAGAGTACCTGGAGTTCTTCCAGAGCAACCCCGTCAATGGCCACCAAGGCAGCTTTCCGTGGACCAACCCAGAGTTGAGAGACCTTCAGAGACTGAACTTCCGAATCAAGGAGGAGGAGGAGGAGCCAGACTGCAATGGCTTAGACTTCTACTCGCAAGCCCCCCCAAACGAAAGACCAAAGGTGAATGACTGTGACGCTGACATCAAGCCACCCATGTGGCTGGACAGAGAGGAGGAGGAGGTGGCGGCGGCTCATGGCTCCTTGTTTTCGCCTTCTCAGAACAGGC